CATCTGCGATAAGAGCCTCATGGGTCTTATCCCTGAGGGCGTTGGCTTGGGCTCTCTGCAGGGTCACGCTCCATCGCTGCCGGTAAGTAGCTTAGCGACCTCCCTCGACTTTGGGGCAGCGTTGAACCGCCGCTTGCCCACTAGCTCCGCGCAACTGCGGCTGCTGATTGGATCGGTGACCGTAACGTCACATAGGTGTACCGCACCTGAGGTACAGTCCCGGATCGCAAGATCCGCCTTTTGCTTATCCACGGGGCAGAAAGCCGTTGTCTCCTTTGCACCGCAAAGCCCGCGTCCTGAGCCATGCGTATACATTCGTCTCTGATTCCGTTGTGTGTATCAGTCCGTCCGTGTCCCGTGTCCAGGATGGCAGTCCTGCCACGGCAGTCGCAGCGGTCAGGTACGGGGAGAGGCAGTCCTAGCCGGAATTAGAGTGCGATGGCAAACAGCTTGGGGCTGAGGCGGAAGGCAGGCATGTACGGGATGGCGAGCAGCCAGTCCCCCGCACCATATCCAGTTAAAGAAAGAAGCCGCTGCGTGTGGCCTGGCAGCGGGTTCAGCTCCATCTGCCTTGAGGCCACTAGCTGAGCGGCGAAGCGGCTGCCCTGGATGATGAGGGTAAGGCAGTGCTGTAGTCTGTTGTCTGGGGCGGTCCGTTCTGCAGCCAGCAGCCCCCTGGCCTCCTCGCCCACTGAGGCCTCGCATTCAAGGAGCCATCTCCGCAGCAGGTGATGGCCGTGCCAAGGTGCCAGTCAGGTAGTAGCCCGCGGGGCCTGGTAGGGAGCCGAGGAGGTACATTGCTTGCACAAAACTGGCGATGAAACTATATCTGCCTTCGACCGAGAGGTCCGTCAGGCCCGGGCCCCAAGGGATGGCGGTAGCGATGCTTGTTGTCAGATTACCATCTTCATTGTAACCTGCATCATCATATACGCTTTGACTAGAGATAGGCACCCAAACTTAGTTTGGGTGCACAACTAGGGTTTACCCTAGTTTGAGGTTGGAACCCAACCTTGGCCCAATTATTGGGCCCCCAAGGTTGGGTTGGGAGATTATTGGCCCCCCCAATAATGTTGACCCACTTTTGGTCAACATTATTGGTCCCCCCAATAACTCCTCAACCCAACTTATTGGTGGGGGCCAATAATGTTGGCATGGCTCCTACATCCTAGCTCAACTATGTAAACCCATGCCCTTCCTAATGAAACTATCGGTTGTTCTTACACTTTCTCACATGGTATTCAGAGCAACTACGGCTCACACCATCTCGATCCTAAGGACCGCACATACCGCGTGCTATATCACGCCCCCCTCACTCACGCGACACTACGTCGCCCTTTGCGCCTAGTGCGCCCCTACGCCGTCACGCCCCCCCCCTCCCCTTGCGCTAAATTTCAGCGCCCCCCTCCCTCCTTTCTACAGTCAATTCCGCCTCTCGCGGCTCTCCCCTCTCTCCCACTAACCCATCAACCGTCGGAACGGCCACGCCAACCGTCGGAACGATCCGCGCAACCGTCGGAACGATCTGCGCAACCGTCGGAACGACCAGCGCGACCGTCGGGACGGCCAGCACGAGCGACGGAACCCTAATCGCGGGCGGACGCCACACCCGCGACGAGCATCGGCGACCGCCGCGACCGACGAAACCCTAATCGCGGGCGGACGCCACACCCGCGACGAACGACGGCCGCGGACGCGACGAGAACGGGCGACCGCCGCGGACGCGACCAGCGGGGGCGGACGCCGCGGACGCGACCAGCGGGGGCGGACGCCGCGGACGCGACCAGCGAGGGCGGACGCCGCGGACGCGACCAGCGCGGGCGGACGCCGCGGACGCGACCAGCGCGGGCGACCGCCGCGGACGCGACCAGCGGGGGCGGACGCCGCGGACGCGACCAGCGCGGGCGACCGCCGCGGACGCGACCAGCGGGGGCGGACGCCGCGGACGCGACCAGCGGGGGCGGACGCCGCGGACGCGACCAGCGGGGGCGGACGCCGCGGACGCGACCAGCGGGGGCGGACGCCGCGGACGCGACCAGCGGGGGCGGACGCCGCGGACGCGACCAGCGGGGGCGGACGCCGCGGACGCGACCAGCGAGGGCGGACGCCGCGGACGCGACCAGCGCGGGCGGACGCCGCGGACGCGACCAGCGAGGGCGGACGCCGCGGACGCGACCAGCGAGGGCGGACGCCGCGGACGCGACCAGCGCGGGCGGACGCCGCGGACGCGACCAGCGCGGGCGGACGTCACGGACGCGACCAGCGAGGGCGACGCTGCGGACGCGACCAGCGGGGGCGGACGCCGCGGACGCGACCAGCGAGGGCGACCGCTGCGGACGCGTCCAGGAGCAGCCGCGTGTCGTCAAGGCACAGCTGCAGGCGACGAGGCGCAGCCGCGGGCGACGAGACGCAGCCGCGGGCGACAAGGGGCAGCCGCGGGTGACGAAGCGCTGCCGCACGCAACGTGACCGCGCCACCCCTCCAGGTGGTGTCGTCTTTGACCGCACCCGCCCTCCAGCCGGTGTCGTCACCCTCTCTCCCCCCCCCTCCTCCCCCCTCATGGCGGACGACTCTACTCCCATTGAACTCGGAGCTATCGATAAGCTCGAACTCCTCCATGACACTACGGCCGTGAACTGGGCGTCGTTTGAGGACACACTTCACACCCACCTTGGCTCTGTCATTGTTCAAGACTACTGTCTTCTTGATGTAGTTCTTGAGCACCCTAACGGCCTTCCACCCGTCCCCCCTCCTCCTCTTGAGCCTCCTCCTCCTGATGCCCCTCCTCCCCCAGAGCCTCTGTCTGATCCCCCTCGTGCCCCAGTTCATGATGACAACCCAGATCGATGGGCGGCCAACTTGAACAACTACAACAAGCTTCGCGATGCCTACACCATCCAGCGTGAGGCGCACCGTGCTGCTGAGAAGGCTCACGCTGATGCTACTGCGCGTATCCTCTCCTACGCACAGGATGAGAAAGACTATGCTGATGAACTTCGCAAGTTCAACAAGGATACTGCAGCATGGCGAATTGCGGATCGCCGCGCTCTAGCCATTATCTTCTCCTGCATCCCTTCCCATCTCAAACGTGACCTCCGCCCCACCTCCTCCTCTGGCCTCTGGAAAACCCTGTCCACTCAGTACGACCGACAGGACCTTCGCTCTCTCCTTGCTCTCTTTCGCAAATTTCAAGACACCACTCTTGACTCATCCCCCACTGCTGCTGCCTTCACTCGGCGCCTCATCGACACTGCGCAACGTCTCAACGACCGCGGCATTGTCATTCATGAATCACTTCTCACTGCACGCATCCTCGACTGCCTTCCACCCACATACGATACCTACCGCATCACCTTTACCTCTAGGTACCGCCATCCTCCTCCTGTGGCTGACACAATCGACTGGCTCCTTGACAGCGAAGCGGACATCCAACGTGACTCCACCACCATCAATGCTATCCAGGCTCGCAAAACTCCCGCAGGCAACCACAGCAGCGGCGGAGGTAGCGGCTCAAGCGGTACTGGCGGTGGCGGTGGTGGACGAGGTGGTGGGCGAGGCGGTGGACGCGGTGGTGGTCGTGGTGGCGGCCGTGGTGGGCGTGGCAAAAACCCCTCTCCCTCGGGTACCCTTCCCCCGTGTCAGTACATCATTCGCTATGGCTCCAACAAAGGTCAGCCTTGCGCTCAAACCACTCACACCACTGACACGTGCTTCAAAGCCCTCACTGATGAGTGGTTTGCACGTGGCAATGTCGGCACCCCACCTCGATGGAACACCATCTTCCCGCGCCCCTCTCTCCATGACATACGCACTCTCCCCGCCTATCAACCCTCCACCCCTAATCTTCACAATGTCCTCACTGAGCATCTCCCACCTCATATCCTCCAGCAAGTTCAACATCTTCTCCCTTCATCTCCTCCCACTCCCACCCCTCCCACCCCTCCCATTCCCCCTTCACCCACACCTCCTCCTCAAGCCCCTCCCCCCCACTATCCTCCGCCCTATACCGGCTGGCCATACCCTCCTTATCCACCTCCTCAATACGGCCCTGTGCTTCCTCCACCTGCTACCACTCCTACTGACCAGCCCTCCTCCTCCTCCAATCCTCCTGGCTTCACTCCGTTCCCTTCTGCTGGATTCATAGGACATGTTAGCACTGCTTCTCCTGCTCCTTCAATGTATGCCCATGCTATTAATGAGACATCCTTCCAGTATTCCGCTTCTTCCTCCTCCTCTACACTCCTTGAGTTCATTCTTGACAGCGGCGCTACACACACTGTCCTTCGGGACGCAGGCACACTAGTCCCCCTCCCCACTCCCTCCACCATTTACGGAGCCGACTTCAGCTTCACCATCACAAGTCGACACACCTCCACTCTCCCCTGCCCCATCTTCCCCTCAGGCACAGTCACAGGTCTACACGTCCCCTCCCTACGCAACAATCTGGTAGCACTTCGTGACCTCCCAAGGTTAGGTGTCACCGCCATCTTCCCCGGACATGCACTTCACTGCGACCTCTTTCACACCATCACTGGTCGCTTCATCTGTCGTATTCCCCTCTGCCCACACACAAACCTGTACACATACCGCACCCCTCGCCCCTCCATCCACCAACTCACCACTCCCACCTTACTTCCCCCTCACTCCCTTCCCCCCTCCCCTCTCCCCCCCCTCCTCCCCTCCCCTTCTTCCCCCCTTCCCTCCCCCCCTCCCTCCCCCCCTCCCCCTCCCTCCTCCCCCTCCCCTCCCTCCTCCCCCTCCTGTCCTGTCGTGACCTTACCCATCCCGCCGTCCTCCTTCACCATCGCTTGGGTCATCCCAACTTTGCCACCCTTCGTCAATCTGTCTCCTCTCAACTTCTTGAAGGACTTCCCCTCACCCTCCCCCCTCTCCCCCCGTCGCCCTCCCCTCCCTGCTCAGTCTGCGTTGAAAGCAAACTAAAGCAAGCCCCCCACAAGAGTCATCCCTCCTTCTCTCACCAACCCATTGATCTCGTCCACATGGACCTCTGGGGCCCCAATCCCACCCCCACCAGGCAAGGTCATCGCTACCTGCTCATACTGGTAGATGACCACAGTCGGTACTCCACTGTCTCTCTCCTTCGCAAGAAGGCGGAGGCCCCGGCTGCCATTATTGCCTGGGCTGAACAAGCACGCACCCATTTCAAACGCCCTGTCTCTCGCTTCCATTCCGATGGCGGCGGTGAGTTCCTTAACCGGATGCTTTCCTCCTACTGCTCCACCCATGGCATTATCCACACCTACACCCTTCCTCATTCCCCTCAGCAAAATGGTGTGGCGGAGAGCAGGGTTCGGGAGGTCACCAAGACCGCTCGATGCCTCATGGTCCATGCCTCCTGCCCGCCTTCTCTGTGGGGTTATGCTATCCTCCACGCCGCCATCCTCACTAATCTCTACCCCCATCCCTCACGGCCCACCACTACTCCCACCGAACTCTGGACCTCCACTAAACCCGACATCTCCCCCCTGCGCGTGTGGGGCTCCAAGGCGTATGTTCTCATACACCCTGAGGACCGTTCACGTGCAGCTGGGAAACTTGCCTCCCGCACCCTCCCTTGCATCTTCATTGGTCATAACCCCACCTCCCCGGACTACCTCTTCCTCCACCCCCCCTCAGGTCGTCTCATTCGTAGTCGGGATGTGGTTTTTGATGAAGCCAATCCGTACTACACCTCCCCCTCCGCCCCTAACCCCCTCCCCCTCACCATACGTCCTCTCCTCTGGACTGACACTGTCATCACCCCTCCCCTTCAACCTCCCCCCACCCTGGTCATACCCGCACCCCCACCCCCTCCCCCCTCTCTCCCAACCTCCTCAGGGGACATCCTTGACCCGGCTGCCCCACCCTCCCCTTCCGCTGTAACTCCCTCTTCCCCCACTGACCCTCCCCCTCTCCCCGCTGACCCCCCCCCTCCCTCCCCACCCCCTCCCCCTCCCTCTCCATCCCCTCCCCCCCTGAACTCTCCCCCACCCCCTCCCCTCTCCCAACCTCCACCCTCCCCATCTCCTCCTTCGCCCCCTTCCCCTCCACCATCTCGGCCCTTACTTTCGTCCCCTCCTCTGCTCCTTCGTCACTACCCTCACACCCGCTCCACAGTCCCCATCCTTGGTCCCCCACGGTCCAATCACCTCTCCCTCCGGTCTCTCACATCCATTCCACTCCTCCACCACTCTAGCACTTCCCCACTCCCCCGCACCAGCCCCTCAGGTTCTCACACCAGCCGCGCTCCCGTCTCCCTGCCCCTCACGGCAACTCAGCGCAGCAGAGCAGCATTGCAGCTGTCTCCTCGCCCCGACCCTCGGCGCAGCAGAGCAGCAGTGCAGCCGTGTTCCCGCTCCAGCCTGACCCTCCAGCGCAGCTGTCTTGCATCTTCACCGCCTCCTCTTCCTCCTCCTCTCTCTCCGGACCTCTATGAAGACTCTCATGATGAACTCCTTTTCCTCCACCTCCTCTCACCCACCATCGCCCCTGTCGTCCGCACCATGGCTGGTACTACGGTCCTTCTTTTCTCCAACACCCCCACCATCTACGAACCCACCACCTACGAGCAAGCAATTGCATGTCTTGACGCACCTCTCTGGATCGAGGCCATGGTCAAGGAATGCAACGCCTTCATCCACAACCGCTCTTTCCTCGACGTCCCTCGCCCCTCCAAGCACAACGTGGTCAAAGGCAGGTGGCTCTTCCGAGTAAAACTACTCCCTGGTGAAGCTCCTGTCTACAAGGCTCGGTATGTGGCGAAAGGCTTTACACAGACTTATGGCTCGGACTTCTTCGAGACCTACTCACCTACCGCCACTCCGCCGGTCATTCGCGTGTTTCTGGACTTCGTTGGCAGACGCGGGATGCTCCTCCACTCCATGGATGTCACCACGGCCTTCTTACAAGGCGACCTCCACGAACTCATCTTCTTGGAACGTCCCAAGGGCTTCCACGCTCCTCACGACCCTGCCACCGTCTGGAAACTACTACGCCCTGTTTACGGGCTCAAACAAGCACCTCGAGAATGGCACGCCAAACTCTCATCCACCCTTCGCGCACTTGGCTTTCGCCCCTCCCGTGCTGCCTCTTGCCTCTTCCTTCGCTTAACTCCGTCACCCTTCTTCATCCTCGTCTACGTCGACGACATGCTGCTAGCAGCTGAGACAGCTGCTGAACTTCAGGAGGTCAAGGATGAGCTGCAGCAACGTCTCGCCTGCAAAGATCTGGGGGAAGTCCGCAACTACCTTGGCATGGAGATCACCCGCGACCTCACTGCCAAGACTATCACCCTCTCTCAGTCATTCTACATCGGGAAGGTGCTCGAGAGATTCGGCATGTCCAAATCCAAACCCATCCCCACACCACTTGCATTCGGGCATCGGCTGTCCCCTCCAGCCACTCCTGTCACCTCCCCTCATCCCTATGCAGAACTCGTTGGGGCCCTGATGTACGCTATGGTCTGCACTCGTTGGGGCCTTGCATACCCCGTCAGTGTCCTGGCGCGGTTTGTTGGCACTGGCAGGCATGGTGAGGAGCACTGGAAGGCGGCCATGCGTGTTCTGCGCTACCTCCAAGGCACAAAGGACTATGGCCTCACGCTTGGTGGTGTGGACCCACCTGTTCTTCAAGGCTTCAGTGACTCATCTTGGGCGGATGCACAGCCGGACCATCGCAGTTCTCAAGGATATGGCTTCTCCCTTGGGAGCGGCCTCATCAGCTGGCGCTCCACTCGCTCCTCCTCCGTCGCCCTCTCCTCCTGCGAAGCCGAGCTGTACGCAGTCACCATGGCGGCTCAAGAGGCACGCTGGCTTAGCTATCTTCTCACCGACCTTGGCTCACCACAGCCCTGCCCCACCCTGTGGTGTGACAACGATAGTACCATCCACCTCACCAAGGAGGCCGTCTTTCATGGTCGCTCCAAACACATCGAACTCCGCTACTACTTTGTCCGCGATCTTGTGCAAGATGGTCACATCACTGTTCGTAAAATCGACTCGTCCGCCAACCTCGCTGACCTCTTCACCAAGGCTCTCCATCGCTCTAACCACTCTGCGCTCCTGCGCCTTCAGGGACTTGCTCCCCGCGGTGGCTGATTCAGGGGTTGTTGCGTTCTCTCTTCCAAAGCCTATGGATTTCTGCAGGTTAAGGGGTTGTGTCAGATTACCATCTTCATTGTAACCTGCATCATCATATACGCTTTGACTAGAGATAGGCACCCAAACTTAGTTTGGGTGCACAACTAGGGTTTACCCTAGTTTGAGGTTGGAACCCAACCTTGGCCCAATTATTGGGCCCCCAAGGTTGGGTTGGGAGATTATTGGCCCCCCCAATAATGTTGACCCACTTTTGGTCAACATTATTGGTCCCCCCAATAACTCCTCAACCCAACTTATTGGTGGGGGCCAATAATGTTGGCATGGCTCCTACATCCTAGCTCAACTATGTAAACCCATGCCCTTCCTAATGAAACTATCGGTTGTTCTTACACTTTCTCACACTTGTTCCCATACACGCTGCTCCTCTGCCTTTCCTCTCGGGTGGTGCACGTTGCAGGCGTCTAGAAGCGTGAGGAGCTGTGAGTGTGACGCCACAAATCCAAACAGCACCTGTAAGTATCGACGGCATTCACCGGGACTCCTCGACCTGATCTGGGAATCTGCTCCCTTCTACGCTCAGTGTAAGTGCATGTTGCAGCTCTTCCCTGACGGCTCCAGCCTCTCCTTCTGTAGTAGCCCCCGTGCGTCTGCACTGCAGGTAGGGCTTGTTCACACTCTTGGGGCCAGGCGTGGAGCGGGTTAGGTTAGCCTGCGGCCCTGGCATCTGATGCTGCATGGCAGCGGCGTGGACGTGAGTAAGCAAGCGCGCCGCCTGTGTGAAATTGCCAGGATGCTGTATACCCCTTCCACCAAAGGGTCCGAGAGTCCCACCCCTCAAGGGAGGGCGGGACTGGAGCTTGCTTCCATGTGCACGTCTGTTCAGCATCGCTGTGGAGGAGGAGGATGCCACGCGGTGAGTAGAGCCGGCAGCAGCTCCCGTCCCCGCTGTGATCACTCCTCCCGTGGTAAGAGATGGAGGGGGGTTGTCCGTGTAAGATGCTCGACGCAAGAAGAAGCGGGCGAGCAGTAACAGTAAGGACGCCAGCTGTCGGTCAGTCTGGGAGAGCAGTGCAAAGGCTGTTAAGGAAGTTAGCAGCGCCTCTCCTTGTGCCGATGTAGCTGCCCAGCATCCGCACTCCCTCCTCGCGAAAGGGGACCCTATCAGGTAAGGTTTCTGTGGGTGGGCGTGTGCAGCTCCAGCCCCAGTGTCACCACCCTGTCAGTGAAGTGTTTGGAAGCTGCTGCTGCCGGTGAAGGCTCGCGGATGAACGTCACAGCATCGGCGTAGGCGAGGCAGGGCACAGACGGATGGGCCTCTGCTGTTGCTTTCAGCGCCGGGTGGGTGCTCGCTGCGAACAGAAGGTGCGCTTTGGTATCCAGCATCAAGGTGCAGTGCAGCAGGGACGGCTGGCCACAGGACAGGCACTCTAGGGGCAAAAGCGCCCTGAGTGTAGATTTCTCAAGGGCTGACACTATAGCCTGGCGGGTGATACTATTCAATGCATTGGCCGGATCCGTCGTGGTTCATCTTCCTGTGATGGATCTTGCCCTCCACTACTCTAAGTCGGTATATGAAGGGGCTGTTATTCCTCTTCAGCAACGGCTCTCTGGAAGCTGTTGTCCGCTCCGCTTCCTTGCGATGCTCCACGCTGCCCTCGTCCTCGACCGCGTCTCGCGGACCCTCGACCTTGCTGCAGTGCTCGCGTGTTCCCCAAGGTTGCTGCTTGGCGCGCCACTCACGCTGACACTGGCAATTGCCCCCTGGTCCGTGGTGATGAATGCCAGACCTGCGGAGAACTGCTGATAGCGCGCAGCAGCCTCCTCCTCGAGCTGCATAATCCGAACCTGCTCGAAAGTATGAACTTGTGCCGATCCCGCCTTGTCCCCAAGACGGGGGTTTGGTGGTGCCACCTCCCCAAGGTAGGTCTGCGTGTGATGGGCCACCTGCCTGCGCCGTGGAAGTTGCGCCGCATGGCAAACGCAGTCGCTCTCCTCGGCTCGACTCGCCTGTGCGCCGCTCCCCACGTCGCCGATCCTCCAAGCATCATGCTGGTGCTGGCGAGCGTCGTTCTCCGCGCTCTGCGTCTCTTGCGCGCTAGTCATGTCGGCGCCGATCGCCCGAGCATGGCTCGAGCCCTCATGGGAGGAGCGGAGTGGTGGCCCCCTCCACTTATTTTCCACTACTCTTTTTGCTTCAACCCCATCCTCACTAGTTACTTCTCCCTCCTCCCCCTCACGTCCTCACGTCCCCTTCCTTCTCCCTTTTCCCCCACTCCCCGCCTCACGCTTTTGTGCTGTCCGCCAGGCGAAGGAGTTGGAGCAGCGCTTGACTGCAGAGCGGGACAGCCTGGCAGCCAGTCTGGCGGCCGCCATGCAGCAACTGAAGGACAGCCGGGCGGCAAATGCCCAGGTGATGGAGGAGGTGAAGGGGAACGAGGCGCAGTCACGTCTTTTGTGCTTCTCTGCCTGCTCTCTTGTCCTGCTATTTCCACTTATTTTCCGCTACCCTGCCTGCTATTATCCCCATGTTTCCACTTCTTTCAGTTCCTCTGCTTAAACATGCCCCCCTGTTTCTTCTCCTCCTTCTCCCTGACCGCTCCTCACCCATGTTTTTTCAGTTCCTTTGCACATGCTGCTGAAGGCTGTGGGCAGGCGAGCACAGGAGAAGGTGCAGGGATGCCGTGTGATGTGAACCCCCTCTCGACTTTTCCTCTGCGCCCCCATGCCTCACAGGCGGAGGAGAAGGTGCAGGCAGCTGTGCGGGAGAGGCAAGCCCTGGAGCAGCGCCTGGAGGACTTGGAGCTTTCAACGGCGAACCAGGTGAGCCTTCTTTTCCACCTCAGGCGCTGGCCTCACGTCCAACCTAGCGCGTGAGTCAGGGTTGGGTTGCTGGCGATAGGGGGTTGCTGGTGTGAGTGCTTGCAGTGCTTTGCCCATGTTTCCCTGCCTTGTCAGTTCTTCTGCCCACACGGCCCGTCCGTGTGAGTCAGGGTTGGGTTGGCTGGGTGGGGGTAGGTCGAGTCCCCCTTTTGCCTCGTTGTACAGTTGCCAATTCCCAGATGTGAATGCTTCAAACTGCTTTTTCCCTTCCCTCCAACCCTCCCCTGCCTGTCAGGCAGCTTGAAGGGTTAGGCGTGGTAGGAATGTGAAGAGTCTCGAAGCTGCGTGAGAGTTGGTGTCATGGGAGAGCCTGGGCCGTGGAGTCAGTCAACTCCTCAGCCAAGGCGGGGAGCCCGCAGGTAGTCTGACCCCCCTCTCACTCTCACTCTCCCGCTCCCTCTCCCTCGCCCTCTCCCGCTGTCCTATCTATTTCTGTCCAGGCGGCAGCAGCAACACCACCATCAGCAGCAACAACAACGGCAGCAGGTGCAGTAACACCCTCCTCCTCCTCACAGCATCAGCAGGCGAGGGGGGTGGGGGGGCAGGGGAGCGTCAGAACGGCATCAGATGAAGACGCAGCAGCAGCAACAGCAGCCACAGCAGCAGCCTCCTCCACTGCTGCCCCTTCCATTGCTGCCCCTTCCGCATCAGCAGCAGGAGACTCAGCAGAAGCTAGGGCAGCAGAAGCAAGGACAGATAGAACAAATGCAATATTAGCGCGGTCATTAATAGCGACAGCTATGGGCCATATGCTGGATGCATTTAAGCTTCTTGATCAGTGCGGGACGTCAGACCTTTGGATGGGAGGTCAGGCAGCCTTTGCAGCAGTCGCAGCAGCAGCAGGTGTAGCAGCAGCAGGTGTAGCAGCAACAACTGCAGCAGCAGGAACAGTGAGAGCAGCAGCAGGAGGAGCAACAGTGGCAGTAGCCGAAGAAGGGGGAGCAGGAAGGGTTGTAAATGGCTGGGAAGGGGGAGGAGAAGAGGGACTGGAGAGTAGGGAGGTGGGAGGAGAAGAGGGACTGGAGAGTAGGGAGGTGGGAGGAGAAGAGGGACTGGAGAGTAGGGAGGTGGGAGGAGAAGAGGTTTCGGCAGAGAGTGGGGAAAGGGAAGGAGAAATGGGGGTGGAAGGGGAAACAAGAAGGGGAGGTGAAGCGACAAGAAGAAGGGGAGGGAAACGGGGAAGAGATGTGGGAGAAGAAGAGACAGAGGAAGTGGGAGGGGTAAGGGGGAGAGTAGGAGGAAGAAAGTCTAAGAATAGTACGGGGCAGAGAGGTGGGAGGGAGAGGAGAGAAGGTGAAGGACTGGGAGGGGAAAAGGGAGGAAGGGGAGAGCAACAGCCTCAACAGCAGCAGCAGCAGGAGCAGATTAATGGGAGGGGAAGAGGGGGTGGTGAAGGAGGAGTGGGAGGGGAAGGGGGAGGAAGAGGAGAGCAACAGCATCAGCAAGTTCCAGAAGGGATCACAGTAGTTACACACAAGGGCCGGACAGAGTGGTTTTCGACAAAGGAGTTGGAGGAGGGGAAGGAGCGATGTCACGAGGGGAGTCAGCAGGTGTTCGGTCGGATACTTCGCTCAAAAATGGATAGTGGTATCTATGGGGCGTCGGAGGAGGGCGAAGACAGGTACAGAGTTCGAGTTAAAGGGAAATACATCGGATTCTTCCGGAAGGCAGACGTTGGATTCGCCTCGGAAAGTGCGCACGTCCTCTCAGGAGTTGAGTTCCCCATTGCGCTTGTTTTCATCACAGAAGCGCAGTTCAAGACTGCCGTTGATTGGGGTGGAAAAAATAAAGGCGAATCGTGGTATGCTGTGATTGCGAGGTTGTCTCGTGTAACAGTGTATCGTGGGGAGGATGGGGAGAATGAGGAGGATGAGGAGGATGGGGAGGATGGGGAGGATGGGGAGGATGGGGAGGATGGGGAGGATGGGGAGGATGGGGAGGATGGGGAGGATGGGGAGGATGGGGAGGATGGGGAGGATGGGGAGGATGAGGAAAATGATGAAGAGGGTGAGAAGGATGAGGACGATGCGGAGGAGGATGAGGAGGAGGATGAAGGGGGTGAGAAGGGTGAGGAGGATGAGGAGGATGAGGAGGATGAGGAGGATGAGGAGGATGAGGAGGAGGAGGATGAGGAGGAGGATGAGGAGGATGACTGACTGTGTCTCTGTTTCTCCCCACCCCCGAGCAGACAAGTGAGCCACATCAGCATCTGCAAGTCATGCCAGTCAGCTCAGCGCCTCGCCTCTCGTGTGCGACTTGCCTTGTGGGCGGCTGCTTTTGCCTGCTTCGCTCTCCTTGCCCTGCCTCACCCTCGCTGCCCTCCAATGGATGCCTTTCTCCCTTGGCGTTGCTGTACCTCTTGCTATTGGAGCTATCCTCGCCGCAGTTGCCCATTTTGTGGGTCGCTTCATCAAGCGTACATTCTAATATAGCGAATACCTTACATGCATGTGCTAGTGTAGTGAGGCAGGTATCTAGGTATGGTAGTTATATACCGTAATCACCCGGACAAAACACCCCCCCGTAATAGTACACCCCCGGGTAGCTTGTGCGGGGGGGGTGCTATAGCCGACCTCGTTTGTACTATACCCCCCCTTTTGGGGTGATTCTCTATAACACCCCCCTTTTCTTACGAAACCCTATTATAGCTGTTATGGAGTCAGATTTTTTACGAAAGGATATGACGAAAATCGCTTCCTGAATGAAATTTCGCGTGCACTTTCACTTCGAATCTACCGAGATTCCCTCCCTTCCACAATCTCGCTGTCGCCACGCTGGCGAATCTTCCGCTGCACGTGGCCCGAGAGGTGAAACTCACATTCTCGCCAAAACGCGAATTCTCGCCTCAACCTGTGATGTTAAAACGACTATTGAAACACCCAAATTGTCTAATTAAACTTTTTTCTTACACTAAAAAGTGCCATATATAACCACCCGGGTATTATATAGGATTTTCCGTTGAGAGCACCCCCCCCCCCCCCCTTTTTTCCCTGTGGTTATCATAATACCCCCGGGTGTTATGTCCGGGTGATTACGGTAGTTTTGGCAGATCCTTTAAAGAAACACCACACTTGCTTTTTGAGGGTGCACTGCACAGTGAGTCTACGGGCTAAACGAGTCTGTATGGAGATTAGAAATTGAGGTACCGGTACAATAGGGAGGAAGGAAAGGTATGAATGAAGCTGTGAAATGGTGAACCAAGGAAGTGGGAAAATGCTGGTTCATTGCAGGCTGAAGGTCAATGTTGTGCTGTAAGTAGCAACTTGACATTGCAGCTTTGAATTTCATTCCCCCTTATTTGTTTAGCTCCCGATTTTACTTTTAACCATCAGGGTAATTGCAGATTTGGACAATTTACCCTATCGCATCAGTGTAATATCAGATTTGGACAATTTACCCAGTTGGTACGATCAGTGTAGTTTGTTTACAGTTTGGGTTTCACATAAAAATTTATGTGAGTCAAATTAGGTAAGACAACAACGCCCCATGGCCAGCGAAGGATGCACCTCAAATTCTTAGAGTGCGCCGTGACAAATCTGGATAATCACTGCCTTGACTGCCGCCAGCGACATTTCTGGAAATCAAGCTCCGTCCTCCAGCTTGAATTCTGTCCCGCCCAGCATGCGTGGGGGGAACGAGCACAATAACGAGAAAGAGGGAGCAGAGTTGGGGAAAGGGGAGGTGGGGTTATGAATTCCGAGCATTTTGCACAACACCATTAAACTGCGTACTAGGGATCACACAAGCACACACATTACATGGAGGCCCATATCAACTGACCCGGAGTTGGCCGCGCTGTGCCAGGGCAGGCACTTGTAGAAGTCTTGACCGATTGCATGGAACAGCCCTTAGCGGCCCTCTGCGGCCTCTATCTGCTTGCAAGAAAGCAGAGAAGCACATGGATGGAAACCCCCAGCACTGAGGAGCGGCATATTGAAGCAAAGAGAGCGCCATACAGGTATAAGGGAGGACTGCAGCGTAATACACCACCTGTGGCCCTCTACTGCCTCTACCTGTCTTGAGAGAGATCAGGGAAGCACATGAAGAGGGCAAAAGTACGATCGGTGGGGAAATCATTTGCAGCAACCTGCTCCCTCCAACAGCCCCCACCGCGTCTACCCAACTGCTCTGATCCCACGCGTCGAGGAAAGAGGAGAAGAGCAGGGAGGTGGAAGGCGAGAAAGGTGGGAAGTGGTGTATGGGAGAACGATTGTCAGGTCAAGAACCAAGAGTACAGTTCTAGCAGGTTGACAAGGCACGAGCAGCAGAGTAAGCAGCACCGCATGCAGCACCTCTCCAAGAATGACCTTCACATGCTTAAAGACGTGAAGCTAGTGAGTGCAGTTTTTTGAGATACGTCTCTACAATGCCGCCCACCAACGCGTCATAGTGCCCAGGCGCGTCATGGTGAAGGGGAGGCGCCGCGCCGGGGGTGTGAGGAGGTGGCTCCGCGCGTGCTAGGGGTGGATGGCCGGGTGGGCAGGTGGGCGGGCACGTCGGGTGGGCAGGTGGGTGGTCTCGTGGGTGGGTGAATTGTTGGGTGGGTGGATGGAGGGACGAGTGGGTGGGTGGGTTGGTGGGCGGGTGGGTGGAGAGGTGGGCGGGTGGGTAGAAGTGTGGATGGGCGAATGGGTGGATGGGCGAATGGGTGGATGGGCGAATGGGTGGATGGGCGAATGGGTGGATGGGCGAATGGGTGGATGGGCGAATGGGTGGATGGGCGAATGGGTGGATGGGCGAATGGGTGGATGGGCGAATGGGTGGATGGGCGAATGGGTGGATGGGCGAATGGGTGGATGGGCGAATGGGTGGATGGGCGAATGGGTGGATGGGCGAATGGGTGGATGGGCGAATGGGTGGATGGGCGAATGGGTGGATGGGCGAATGGGTGGATGGGCGAATGGGTGGATGGGCGAATGGGTGGATGGGCGAATGGGTGGATGGGCGAATGGGTGGATGGGCGAATGGGTGGATGGGCGAATGGGTGGATGGGCGAATGGGTGGATGGGCGAATGGGTGGATGGGCGAATGGGTGGATGGGCGAATGGGTGGATGGGCGAATGGGTGGATGGGCGAATGGGTGGATGGGCGAATGGGTGGATGGGCGAATGGGTGGATGGGCGAATGGGTGGATGGGCGAATGGGTGGATGGGCGAATGGGTGGATGGGCGAATGGGTGGATGGGCGAATGGGTGGATGGGCGAATGGGTGGATGGGCGAATGGGTGGATGGGCGAATGGGTGGATGGGCGAATGGGTGGATGGGCGAATGGGTGGATGGGCGAATGGGTGGATGGGCGAATGGGTGGATGGGCGAATGGGTGGATGGGCGAATGGGTGGATGGGCGAATGGGTGGATGGGCGAATGGGTGGATGGGCGAATGGGTGGATGGGCGAATGGGTGGATGGGCGAATGGGTGGATGGGCGAATGGGTGGATGGGCGAATGGGTGGATGGGCGAATGGGTGGATGGGCGAATGGGTGGATGGGCGAATGGGTGGATGGGCGAATGGGTGGATGGGCGAATGGGTGGATGGGCGAATGGGTGGATGGGCGAATGGGTGGATGGGCGAATGGGTGGATGGGCGAATGGGTGGATGGGCGAATGGGTGGATGGGCGAATGGGTGGATGGGCGAATGGGTGGATGGGCGAATGGGTGGATGGGCGAATGGGTGGATGGGCGAATGGGTGGATGGGCGAATGGGTGGATGGGCGAATGGGTGGATGGGCGAATGGGTGGATGGGCGAATGGGTGGATGGGCGAATGGGTGGATGGGCGAATGGGTGGATGGGCGAATGGGTGGATGGGCGAATGGGTGGATGGGCGAATGGGTGGATGGGCGAATGGGTGGATGGGCGAATGGGTGGATGGGCGAATGGGTGGATGGGCGAATGGGTGGATGGGCGAATGGGTGGATGGGCGAATGGGTGGATGGGCGAATGGGTGGATGGGCGAATGGGTGGATGGGCGAATGGGTGGATGGGCGAATGGGTGGATGGGCGAATGGGTGGATGGGCGAATGGGTGGATGGGCGAATGGGTGGATGGGCGAATGGGTGGATGGGCGAATGGGTGGATGGGCGAATGGGTGGATGGGCGAATGGGTGGATGGGCGAATGGGTGGATGGGCGAATGGGTGGATGGGCGAATGGGTGGATGGGCGAATGGGTGGATGGGTGGACGGGTGGATGGGTGGACGGGTGGGCGGATACGGTGGTGGGTGGGTGATGGGTGGATGAGTGGGTGGATGGGTGGATGGGTGGGTGAATGGCGGGTGAATAGGTGGCTTGATGGGTGGATGGGTGAATAGGTGGATAGGTGGGTGGGTGGGTGGGAGGGTGAATGGGTGGGTGGTTTGGTGGCGGGTGAATGGTTGAACGGGCGGGTTGAAAGGTGGATGGGTGAATAGACATTAGACCGGTCTCGTGGGGACCGGTCTCGTGGGGACCAGTCTCGTCTCACCTGCGGTGTGCTCCGCAAGGTTGGTGTGGCAGGCACATACTCAGCCACGCCCATCCACTCTTGGGCCAACTCAGGAGCCACCTCACCTGCAGCGTCGCTGCCACATACTGAAGAACCACGTGAATCCATGCCACTGCGCCAAGCCAGCACACTAGTGTGTGCCCCAGACTGACATGTGAGGACACAGTATTTGCCCTTTAACTCATTTGTAGTGTGTGTTGCACATCAACGCACGGAGAGCAGCTAGGAGAGCAGATGTGTGCTGCTGCGCTGCCCCGTCCTGGTGCCGCTTCGCATAGATAGAAGCCCCGCGCCCACTCCGATGGGGGGTGGGTTGGAGGAGAGGAGGGAATGATGGGCTGCGGGAGGTGACGTGAGGGCCACTGAGGGGAGGAGGGGTTAGGGAGAATGAGAGGATTGCTGATGAATACACGCTAGTGGGTTGCTACCCCACTTCGCTTCACCCTATGTGCCGTGTCTAATATCAAGCATCTACCAGCTATCTGGGCGGCACGGCAGGAGTGGCAATCGCACCTGCTGGCTGGGCGGAGGCGGGGGGGGGGGGTGGGGTGGGTACAGAACTCCAAAGATGGTGGCGCATGTGTTGGCAAGGCCGCTCCACCCCCGAATCTGCACCACCACGGTGCTGCTGCTGCTGCTGCTGCTGCTGCTGCCGTTGCTGCTGCTGCTGCTGCTGCTGCATACACACATAATGTTCAGTGGCAAGTTGCTGCATGCACACGCACAGGAGGGCTATCGCACCTGTTCCACCCCGTGTGCTGTGCCTGGTACCTGGCATCAAGTAGCAAGTTACCTGCTGGCTGGCCGGCAGGAGCAGAGGTCTCCAAAAATGGTGGCGCGGGCATTGGCAAGGCCGCTCCACCCCGGGTCCGAGTGGAGGTTGCGCGAGTGCATGCCGAGAGGGGAGAGCAGGAACACGAGGCCTGGGGGGAAGGGGAGTGGGGGGGAGAGGGTGGGGGATGGGTGGTGGCGGGAGGGTTTAGTGGCAGGGCAACAGGGTTCCTGATTGGTGGGTTCTACGGCAGGTTGCTCAAGTGCATGCACGAGGGGACAGGAGGAACACAGAGCATGGTGGGGGAGAGTGGAGGGAGAGGGGGAAAAGGGGAAGTGGGGAAGGGGTGGTGGGCAGGGACCATGGGTGTGAGTGACGGCATGCGGGGGGAGAGGAGAGTGGGGGTTGGGGAGTAAAGGGGGAAGCAAGACGCGGGCTGAGAAACAAAGTCCGCTTTGGTGGTGTGTCGTGACACGCCATACCTCCACCTACCGCTTCTTCCTCTCTCGTCTCCCATGCACACTCACTCCCATGCCCCGTCCAACCTTGATCATGCACCCCTCCCCCTTCCCACAATCCTCCCTCACCACCCTCCTCCGTCCCCCCCACCTGTGACTCACGGCCATCAGCATTGGTGGTAAGTCGACCAGGGTACCTTTTGCGGAGGTGGTGCGAGCGGGGCATGATGGAGCAGAGCTGCGCTGCGCGTGCTGCGCCCGCGCCACCAGGCTGCGCACTGCTTGCTACCACAGCCCGTGGGCGCTGATGCGCTCTCCACTCCCCCTGAGAAGGGTGGCCTGGAAGGGTGGCATGCTGATCTGGAGGGGCGGCAGGCTGGTATGGAAGGGCGGCATGCTGACCTGGAAGAGCCGCAGGCTGACCTGGAAGGGCGGCAGCTGACCTGGAAGGGCGGCAGGCTGACCTGGAAGGGCGGCAGCTGACCTGGAAGGGCGGCAGCGGGCCGAGCTTGAGGGTGAGTGTGTGGAAGGTGAAGGCGAGGCGGCGAGCTGTGAAGCCCATGGGGCCCTGAAAGGTGAGGCAGCCCACCGGCCCCAGAAACACCCCGTTCTCTATCTCCATCGCCTGGTGGGTGGAGAGGGGGGTTGAGACGAGAGGGGTAATGGAGGGGAGTGGAGGGGAAGGAAGAGGAGGGGAGAGGAAGAGAGAGAGAGAGGAAAAAGGGGGAAGGTGAAGGCGTGGCAGGGATCTTTGGAGCACATGCGGTTTGAGGGGTGGTAAGAGCTGAAGGGGAGCCGATGGGACACACAGAGACAGGGGGAGGGGGCTGATGGGGAGGGAGTTGGGGAGGGAGATGGGGCATGGCATGGGTAGCAGCATAGTGGCGGAGAAACGAGAGGATGTTCACGATAGCAGGTGGATGGGAGAAATGGTGGTGAAGAGGGGGAATGGTGGGTCCCAACAACGTGCAGCAGCATGAGCTGAGTGAAGTGATGAGTGAGCGTGGCAGCAGCAGGAGCGCGGAGGGTGGACGGCGGGGGCAGTGACCTGACGGTGGCATCTAAGCGTTGGATGGCGGCGATGGGGCCTCCCCGCCCTTGGCCGCCTTGCTCACCTGCTCCCGGGACACGTGGGGGCACACGCATAGTGGGGGGCACGGGCACAGTGGGGGGCACACGCACAGTGGGGGGCACACGCACAGTGGGGGGCACACGCACAGTGGGGGGCACCCGCACAGTGGGGGGCACACGCACAGTGGGGCCGCACAGGCACAAGTGGCAATCAACCTTGCGAGGTGACCTGTGAGCGAGAGGGAAGAGCCGAGTGCATGGGCACGAGGGCAGAACTGTGGAGCAGGTGGAAAAGTGCAGGTGGTGAAGGAGGTGGGAGTTGTCTAGGGGAGTTGGTTGGAGGGCAGGAGAGAGAAGGGGCACTGCAGAGCACTTGCGGAGGAAGCATTGAAGCGGTTGGAGTAGTACGAAGAGGGGGGAATGGCAGTGAAATGAGGGGATGTGGACCAATGGAGGGAGTCCAATAAGGGGGAGATGGGGGAAGAAGGGAGGGGGATAGAGGGTGAAAGAGAGATTAAAGAGTTTTGGATAGCCATGGGCTGAGAGACAGCTGGCATATGATAGCAACAGATAGAGAGTGTGGGCGGGGGGAGGTAGGGAAGGGCTGCAAGAAGCATGCAAGGCGTGGCACAGTGGAGCGAGGAGGAGCGGTGGCACCAGTGCAGTACCTTTCACAAGCATCAGTAAGTAAGCTGCCCCAACAGTACCTTCCTCGCTCGTTCCCCGTGCACATTCACTCCCACCCCCGCTCCAACCTCGCTCACCCACCCCTCCCCCTTCCCCACCTCCCCTCCCAACCTCCCCCTCTCTCTCCCCACTTCCCGCCTACCCACTTTCCCACTCCATGCCCCCAATCCCCCCGTCCTTGACTCACGGCCATCAGCGACGGTGGTGAAGTCAACAAGAGACCCGGAGGGTACCCCGTGCGGCGGGGGTGCGAGCGGGGCATCATGGAGCAGAGCTGTGCTGCGCGTACTGTGCCTGCGCCTACAGCGGGTGCTGCCAGCCCGTGGGCGCTCGTTGCGCTCTCTACCCCCCCGATACTGGCGAGCGGAAAAGGCCTGACCGTGTTGCAAACACTGAAAGGGGAGAGTGTGGAGAAAGATCGATGCTGCAACACTTGAGACCGCCACTGGCAGCCCGTGGGCGGTGGTGGCGCTCTCTACACCGCATGACACAGGTGAGCGGAAGAGACTGAAGCGTGTTGCACACACTGGAAGAGAGGGGGGTTAGGGTGCGGGCAAAGGAGAAAGGGTGAGAAGGGTGAGAGTTGGGAAGGGTGCAGGGAAAGAACTCTGGCAATTCAAACGGATAGCTGGTGGGATGATTGTGGGGAGGGGAGAAGGGCGGATGGGAGGGGAGGAAGGGGAACGCTACCTCGCTCACCCACCCTCACTGTGCCTCTGCTGATTACCCGCCTCTTCGCACCACTGCCAGTCACCCGCGCCCCCCCCCCTCCCCCATTGCAACTCAACCGCGCCCCTCCCCTCTCCCCCATTGCCACTCACCCGCCCTCACTGCGGCATCGCCCGCAGCGGTCACCAGCGGCGCCGCCCCCGCATCCGCCTCGCCCACGCCCCCTGCAGCCGCTGCGCGCCAAGCCCTCCGCCTGCCGGGGGGAGCGCGCGCTGCGCTTGGCGGAGTAGCGCAGCAGTCGGTGCGGAAGGGGGAAGCGGCGGCTAGCGAGTGGGCGGAGGAGAGTAGGCGCGCGCGGGGCAAGGGTATTTCGGAAAAATATCGGAGAGAGGGGTGGCGAAGGAGAGAAAGGACCGAGAACAGGGAGGGGAGGGCAAGAGTAGGTGATTCGGAAATGTGGAGTGAATATTCGCTCTTGTTCTGAAACGCTGTTCATATCGCAGAAGCGTATGCGGCCTACACCGCGTGTGTCGACGATTGTTCCAGCTTGCAATAAAGCGCGCATGGCTTGCAAAAACGCCGCAGCGGCGACGACCCACCTATTACGTTCGCTCGTTACTGTAACAATCGCTAAGGGGCGCGTTACCGGGGGCAAGGCGGGGTGGACGCGGAGTCCATGGGCCAGAGTCGCGCGGAACGCGGAACGCAGCGCGGAGGAGAAGGAACACGCTCGGCGACAATCACTAGGGAAACCGCATTGGACGGCGGTGCTCGTTTCGTCGGCGGCTGTCAATGCCCGGGCGGAAGAAATGCTGGTGGTGGCGATTATAGCACGCGCGACGCGGCTGCTGATGATGTCTACATGCGCATGCACTGAGAAGAATGGCGGGAATCCGATTACTAGTTTCGATCGGATTGAAATGAAAAGTGGGGTTCGGGGGATGGGAGGGACTCTCGAGCGGAAAGATAATTGAACGTAAAAACAGTAAAACACAAAAAGCACTCGCTGTATATCGAAGCAAAACAGGTGCCTCGCCAGACAAAGGAGGAATGGGCTGCTGACACGTGCACAAGTTACAGCCGAGAACCTGGGAATCTGCGGTGAAAAGTACCAATCAAGCGAGTGAATTACGTCAGGCCAAGATACAGTTGAGAATACATTGAAAGGAGTTTCATATTCTCTCTAGGTGAGATGAGTCCGCCCTTTATCGGGTTATAGAGCAAGGCAAGTCACTCACAACAGCAGCAAGGAAGAGATTACTTGCTCGTAAGCGCTTGCACTTCATTCTGCTGCTCTCTCCTGAAATCCCGAGTCGCCTCTTCTCCCGCTCATCTCTCTCCCGTCTGGACCCGTTTTTTTTTTCGTGACCCGCTTCGGAGTTCCGTGTGCCGCATCTCCTTTGATTCGCTCCTTCTAAAACTCGCATTTTCTTCCTCCTTGAGGCCGTGCCGTGGCGTGCTTGTGCCCGTGCATCGTCCCTGCCATCACCCCGCGTCATTGACCCTCGCGATGATGCGACCATGCGACGTGAAGATGGGAGAGGAGGAGAATGGGATGAACCGGTAGGAACGGGCTGGATTAAGCGCCGGGATCCGTGAGATTTCGAACCACCCTACTGACAGTTTCGTTAGCAGCTTAATAATACACCGCAATTAGACGAGAAAGTGCGCCGCAACGTTTCAAATACAAGGCGCTTGCATCCATAGTACCGCAAATTTATCCGCCGCCGGCGCCGGCAGAGAGATTTGAGGCAAATCACTTCTCATAGCCACCGTACCCTTGCAACAATACAATTCCTCTCGCTCGCTTTCAGTGGTGCCTCAAGAATCGTACCGTCAACGCCGTCTACTTGCATCGGCGCGCAATTTGTGCGTAATCCGCTCTTCCGCGCCATTCCGCCTTCCCGCCTCCGCCTCTTCTGCTCTCCGCCTGTCTGCCTCTCCGCCTTTCCGCCTCCCCCTCTCCGCCCGTGCGCCGTGCGCCATGGCGTTCCCGGAGCTGCTGGCGAGGCAGGCGTCAATCTAATCGCTCACACTCGACGAATTCCAGGCGACGTTCGCCGGCCCGTCGCACGCCGTCGCATCCTTGCCCATGGGCGACTTCCTGCGATCCGTCTGGCTCGCCGAGGAGTCGCACATGCTCGCCGCCGCGCACGCCGCCGGGCTCGCGGATCCGCGCGCGCGCGACGGGGCTGCGGTGCTGCTGAGCGTGCGCTCACTGCAGCGGCAGAAGTCCAGTACGGCGATCACTCGGGTCGCTGGCAACGCAGGGTGCGCAGGGAGGGGGTCCACTGGGGTCACTCGGAGGGCTGCGGGGAGCAATGGGAGCGATGGGGGCGCTGGGAGGGGGCTCACTGGGGTCACTGGGAGCGATAGGGTCGCTGGGACCCGCCCCTCCTGGTGGGATTGCCATGGGGATGGGCATGGGAAGGGGCATGGGCGGAGGTGTGGGGGGAGGCGTGGGGATGGGTGGGGGCTTAGTTGGCAATGTACGTTTACGCTGGTTTACGTTTACGCAACTTTACGTAGTAAACTTACGTTTCCGTACGCTAGCCTGATATGGGTTTACGTTTACGGTCAGCTGTAAAACTTTTCCAGCCTGCCCGGAAAAAAAAAAGTGTTTCGGGGCACACAAGACTTCCTCAATAAGACACTATAACCAGAAAACTAAGCAAAACACTACTACTAATCTTTCTCCATGGGTGCCATCCCATCCTCATCATCCTTGTAGCAACTATCTTCCAAATCATCGTCGTCCATGGGCTCATAGACATCCGGTATCTCGCGTTCACTGATTGTTGGCAGCGCTGAAAGTTTCAGCTTCTTCTCAAAGTCCGAGTTCAGCCTTCGCACGGTCTTGTAATTGTGCGTTACGTATACCAAGTCGGCGAGCCTTGTTGCACCGAGGCGGTTGCGGCGGGTCGTATGAATCCCCTCCCATTCACCCCAGTTGGTTTCACAAGCTGATGCCGAAACACACTGCTTGAGGACCTTTGGTGCAAGCTTTGAAAGGTGGGGCAAATGCGATCCGTTGCACTCCCACCATTGAGCCGGATCCATCTTCCCTTTCTTGATGAGCTCCTTCTCAATCCGCGCCTTTTCCTCACCAAGCTCCCCCTCCCCTTTCATGTACGCCCTAATTTCCCTCTCCACAATGGTTGCAACGGGGTGCCGGTCCCCATCTTCATCGACTACAAACTCTCCTTTGAAATAGTCCCGGATGAAGCCTCTGAAAATGTCGGAACACTCCCGGTCGGTGCCAACAATGTTCTCAAACTGGTTAGGGGGGTAAAGAATGAGCCCCACAACATGCAACGCGCAGTTGATGGAATTATTCCACCTGTTTCGCACCGCATCAGCAATCCATTCCTTCTCCTCTTCCGGTAAATCCTTGCATGCGTCTCGCACCGAGTCCTCTCGAAGGAACATCATGCGTCATCACCGAGTCCACTTCCGAGGAGGTGAGCTTGAGCGCGGGTCACGGTGAACGGCCAATCCTTGCCACAAAACTTGCAACGCTTTGGAATTTTTGAATCTGACTTTCCTCCTTTGGGAACTTCGTAGTGGCGCCAGATGAAGTGATCGTCGCCTAATGCTACTTTTGCGGGATCTGCCTTGGTTGCGGGATCCGCCATGGTTGCGGGATCTGCCATGGTTGCAAGGACGCCACAGTCGAGTACGTAGAACTAGCCAGATCTAGATTCAGTTCAGTCTCTTGTGCTCTAGATCCAACTCTGGTTGGAATGCTGGTTTGTACCCTCAAAGAGTGACGGTCCCTCTTCCCATTCGCGAAATTCCGTCGCAAAGGTGTGCTGCAGCGAAGGCCCAATTTTGTAACGAGTCCACACATTTCCGTGTGCATAGAAGGTGTGCACGAAAGTGTTGGTGATGGAAACGCGTTTGAGCTTCCACGTGTCCCAAAATTGTTGGTTTCACGCATCTTTTCGACAGATTGGCATAGTTGGCGAAAATCGATTCTGTTATCACGATTCGCTTTCAGCTTTGCGACAGATCTGCATGTTCGTCGCAATCTCAAACAGTTGACTCAACATACGGCCCACACCTCACCCATCGCAACCAACTATTCTACGTACGGCTATTTCGTAAAGCAGACTACCAAGTCATCCTCCCGTCATTCGTAACCTAGAAGTCCAGTTTCCTAGTAGACACAGTCGCGCGACCTAGTAAGGCCTTTAGATCCAGTCCGTAGTACCCAATCCCTAACGCGACCTTAGTCCGTCCAATCGTTCGTGTCGTACTCCCCTTGTCATTCGCGTAATAATACATAATCTCTGTTTATCGATCTTGCCCACAGAAATTACAGGTTTTTTTTTTTTTCATCCTGCCCGTTCGACTTTACGTAATATTACGCGTAAGAAAACGTAAACGTAAAGGCATGCGTAAATGTACGTCTACGCGTACCAAATGGACGTAAAGTACCAACTAAGGGTGGGGGGAAGGTGCCCACTACGTATGGTGTGGGCACAGGTATGGGCGCAGGTGTGGGCGCAGGTGTGGGCGCAGGTATGGGCGCAGATGTGGGCGCAGGTGCGGGTGCAGGTGTGGGCGCATGTGTGGGTGCAGGTGTGGGCGCAGGTATGGGCGCAGGTGCGGGCGCAGGTGTGGGCGCAGGTGTGGGTGCAGGTGCGGGCGCAGGGGGGCTGGGGGGAGTTTGCTGGGGCGGGCATGGTGGCGGCGGATGGGGTTGGGGGGGCGGGGGAGAGAGGTGGGGGGACAGTGACGGCGGAGGGGGAGGGGGGCAGTCAGATACGGGCAGGAGTGGGGATGGGGACACACTTTGAGCGCGGGCGTGGGGGGGAGGCAGGGCGGAGGGGGAGAAGCGGGGTGGGGAGGAGGGAGGGGCGCCTGTTGAGAGGAGGCAGAAGCGGATGATCAAGAATAGAGAGTCTGCTCGGTCCCAGGCAAGGAACCAGGTGGGGTGCGGTGCGGTGAGGTCCGTTGAGGTCAGGGGACTTGCTGGATGGCTCAGAGTGGGTGGCTCAGATCAGAGTGGGACGGCCAAGTGTGAACTCGCTGTGACTCTCACAACACCGGTGCTGCTGCGATGCACTGGGAGGTTGACAGCGAGTTGGCACGCGTGCGTGTGAATTGAACTCACTGGGACGTACTACCGCATTGAAGGTCGCCTTACACTTGAATCTGGCTGGATGATGCTTCCTCGCTCCTCCAGGTGTGTCACGACACGCCGGGGCTGACAGTGGCGCTGCCATCTCAAATACTGTCAGCATGAGTATTGATGAATCCATTTATCCCCGTTTGCAATCTGTGCCTGCGCTGCTCACACACTCTCGCCCGCCCCCCCTCCCAGGTGTGTCTCGACAAGCCAGGGCTGACAGTGGCTGTGCCATGGCAGCTGCTGTCAGCAATGCAGCGGCAGGGGTCGCTCCTCGCGTCGTCCACCTCTCGTCATTGACGCCGACCGGCAGATCAGGAGGTGCGTGCAAGGAGGACGGGATGGGAGGAGGGGAGGGGGGCATGGGGAGAATAGGGCAAGACGGCCGGGGAGAGGGGAGTATGGAAGTGGTAGATGTGGTGGCACTGGTGAGCGATGCCGACCGGCAGATCACGAGGTGCCGACTGGCTTTGTTTGTTTGTCATCCCCCACTCTTCCTTGTTCTTGTTCTCCCCGTCTTCCTCACTCACAGCCCTTCCCTCTTGTCCAGGACCAAGACTTTCCCCACCTGCTCCTGGAAAAGAGAGTGTAGCACCCCATTGCAGAATGTTCCTCTTTCTCTCCATCCCATCCCATCCCATCCCATCCCATCCCAGTCCAAACCAACCATCCCACCAATCCACCCCATCCCACAAACTTATCCCATGCCACCCCATCCCTTCCCACCGCACTCCACACCAGCAGGCCGGACCCACGGGTGCGGCGGATAGTGAAGATGGTGGGGGCGGAGCGGAGGGAGGGGAAGCAGCGCATAGTGGTGGTGAGCAAGGTGAACCTGGTGAAGGACAAGCGCCCGCTGCTGCCGCTCGCACAGGAGCTCACCACGTTCCATTCCATCGAAAGGTGTGCAGAGTGGGGGGCAGATTGGGCGGGGGGTGGGTGGGGTGGGGGCGCTGGATGCATGGGGGGAGGCGTGTGCCTGTGCGTTTGCGTGTGCGGCGGGTGCGCGGGGGGCTGGCAGGGCGGGCGAGCTATCGGCGGCGGAGCTGGATAATTTGATGGTGATAGTGGGCAACCCGCGGCAGTTCAAGATCCCCGACTGGTTCCTGAATAGGCAGAAGGACTACAAGGACGGCCGCTACTCGCAGGTCGTGTCCAACGGACTCGACATGAAGATGCGCGACGACCTCGAGCGCCTCAAGAAGATCAGGTCCGTCCATTGCGCTCACCCACTGGCGCCTCTAGGAGATCAGGTCCTTCATTGTGCTCATCCACTTAGGCGCCTCCAGAAGACCAGGTCCGTTCATTGCGCTCTCCCACTTAGGCGCCTCATGAAGATCAGGTCGCTCTGCTAGGCTAGTCATAACGATCACCACAATTTTGAGCACCATCATCAACACCATTGGGCCTGTCACGTTAAGGGTGCCATGGGGGACCGTGGGATGTGTAAAGGGCGGAGGAGGTGGGTGGCAGGAGTGGGGGGGTGAGTGAAATCAGTGCTCAAATGACCCTGTGCATATGTGCACTGCTGCTGCCCTGATGCTGTTTGACCGTGTCTCTACCTGACAAGACTGAAATTCTGTGTGTGCCAATCAGATGCTGTTTCTTGCTGCTGTGCATTCCCTACCCTGCCTGTGGCGGCCCTCCACTCGCCCTGTCGTGGCATCACCTCATTCCCACATTCCCTCCCTGCAGGAATCACCGTGGGCGGCGACACTGGGGCCTGCGAGTGCGTGGGCAGCACACCAAGACCACTGGTCGCCGCGGCCGGACTGTTGGTGTGTCTAAGAGCGTATTCCTATCCTCATATCAAGAATACCTCATATCAACCTCCCACTGAAAATTCCCCTAAACCCAAAACCTCTCGCTAGTTTTACCAGGCAAAAGATACATTCTTGATATGAGGTACCAATTGATACGAGGATAGGAATACGCTCTAAGAAGCGATAGACAGCCTCTTTGCACTTTGCCTTCGTATGGGAATATGTTGCTTACAGGCCTGGATGTACTGCATTGTGTAATGAGTGATGGCAATATTGGCTTTGGTCTTTGTAACTGCGCGATTCATTGTTACCATGACCGATACGGTACGGTACCGGTAATCCGAAGCTTTCGAGATGACATTTGATCAGTGGTATCTGCATTGCTTTGCAGTGGTGCCTGCCCGCATTGATTTGCATTCACAGGGCAGTTTATCAGTATCTGTATTTATCAATCATAAAAAACAATGTACATTAGTAAGCTCAGGCCAATGTAAGCCAGCGCGCACACATGTCAGCTCAAGCCAGCCTAAGCCAGCGCGCACACACACGTGCGAGTCATCCCACGGAGGCACAAGACCAGTGAGCACGCCAAGAGTTTTCTTCTGCTCAAGAACGAGTGGTACGGGAGAGGGCAGGGGAGGGACCAGCCCTGCGATGCGGTTCATGTTTAGTGTAGAGATGTCTGCAGGGGCGGTAGCAGGAAAGGGTTGAGGGGGCTTTTAAGACGCCTCAAAAGTCATCTCCTGTTTCGAGGCGCCTCAAGAGGCGGGAGAGGGCAGGAAAGGACCAGCCTGTGATGCGGTTCATGTGCAGTCCAGAGGCCTGCAGCAGGGCTCTCGCTAGGTTTTGGGGCTGTCTGACAGTATACGAGAAAAAAATTTTCCCCCGTCTTATGCTCGGACGACGAAATTTTCATGGTCTGCATTATAAGATGAAAACATTTTTCTAGTCTGATTAATAAGACGAAAAGATTTGCCGCCAGGCATGCAAGTGTTCGGAGCACCTGAGATGTTTGGGCGATGCCACCAGGCATGCAGGTGCCCGGGGCACCTGAGATGTTTGGGCGATGCCGCCAGGCATGCAGGTGCCCGGAGCACCTGAGATGTTTGGGCGATGCCGCCAGGCATGCAGGTGCCCGGAGCACCTGAGATGTTTGGGCGATGCCGCCAGGCATGCAGGCGCCCGGAGCACCTGAGATGTTTGGGCGATGCCGCCAGGCATGCAGGCGCCCGGAGCACCTGAGATGTTTGGGCGATGCCGCCAGGCATGCAGGTGCCCGGAGCACCTGAGATGTTTGGGCGATGCTGTCAAACATTATACATGTTGTATTTGTGTAGGCTGTAGTGGGTTAGCCTATAGGGGGGTCACAACATTAGGGTTTCATATTTGTACTCACAATCCTTGCTAGTTCATCATTCCAGTCCGTTCTCGTTGACATGGTTTCAGAGCAGGTCCTTCGCTAGGACCGTTTTTTTTTTAAGGGCCCACCGTTCCCTACCTACCTACCTACCTACCTACCTAGGGCGCCTCGAATTTTTTTTTTTAACGGCCAAAACATCCCGCGACCCGCGACCCGCCCCTTAAGGCCCCGTCGCGCCGCCCCTTAGCCGCTCGCGCGCGGTCGTTTTCATACGTGCGCCCCGCCTGCTGCCCGCGCGCGCCTTATTTCCCTCGCGCGCGGCCCGTCGCCTACTCGCGCACGCCCCGCAGCCGCCCGTCGCCTGCTCGCGCACGCCCCGCAGCCGCCCGTCGCCTGCTAGCGCACGCCCCGCAGCCGCTCGTAGCCTGCTCGCGCACGCCCCGCAGCCGCCCGTCGCCTGCTCGCGCACGCCCCGCAGGCCCGCAGCCCGCCATCGCCTGCTGCTTTGCCCCGTCTCGTGTCCTTGCTAGTTGCCCCTGAGGGAGACCCGGATGCACCAGACATCCCGACCCCGCGCACTTACGCTGAGGCGATGGCGGGTCCCTACTCCTCTCAGTGGCAGACAGCCATGGACGCCGAGATGGCTTCCTGGAAGTCCACACGCACCTACGTCGACGAGGTTCCCCCTCCTGGGGCGAACATCGTCAGTGGCATGTGGATTTTCAGGGTGAAGCGGCCGCCGGGTTCTCCGCCTGTCTTCAAGGCGCGTTACGTGGCTCGAGGCTTCAGTCAACGAGAGGGAGTTGACTTCTTCCAGACCTTCTCCCCCACCCCGAAGATGACTACTCTTCGGGTGCTGCTGCACATAGCCGCTCACCGCGACTACGAGCTTCACTCACTTGACTTCAGCACTGCTTTCTTGCAGGGCAGCCTGCACGAGGAGATCTGGCTGCGCCGCCCACCTGGCTTCACTGGGTCGTTTCCTCCTGGTACCCAGTGGAGGCTTCAGCGGCCGGTCTACGGTCTCCGCCAGGCTCCGCGTGAGTGGCACGACACACTGAGGACTACACTTGCGGCTCTTGGGTTCGCGCCTTCTACAGCTGACCCGTCGCTGTTCCTGCGCACCGACACTTCGCTGCCGCCGTTCTACATCCTCGTGTACGTCGACGACTTGGTCTTTGCCACTGCTGACACTGCAGGACTCGCCTATGTGAAGTCGGAGCTGCAGAGGAGACACACGTGCACAGACCTGGGTGAGCTGACAAGCTATCTTGGCTTGCGGATCACCCGGGACAGAGCACGGCGCACCATCACCCTGACTCAGTCACACATGGTGCAGCAGGTTCTCCAGCGCTTCCGCTTCACGTACTCCTCGCCTCAGTCCACTCCTCTGCCTACCGGTCACTCGCTCTCAGCTCTGCCTTCGGATGAGTCCGTAGAGCCGAGTGGCCCGTATCCAGAGCTTGTGGGCTGCCTCATGTACCTGATGACCTGCACTCGACCTGACCTTGCATACCCTCTTAGCATCCTTGCACGCTATGTCGCTCCTGGCCGTCACAGGAAGGAGCACATGGATGCCGCTAAGAGGGTGTTGCGCTACTTGTGCAGTACGTCGGGCATGGGGCTTGTGCTTGGAGGGCGAGACCGAGTTGTTCTCACAGGGCACTCAGACGCTTCTTGGGCAGACGACCAGGCCACTCAGCGGTCGTCTCAGGGTTACACCTTCAGCCTTGGCTCTGGCTCAGTTTCTTGGCGCTCTACACGCTCTTCTTCTGTTCTCGGCTCCAGTTGCGAGGCTGAGATCTACGCTACAGCCATGGCTGCCCAGGAGCTACGCTGGCTGACCTACCTGCTGACCGACCTCGGAGAGCGGCCTCGTTCTCCTCCAGTACTGTACGTCGACAACAAGGCTGCCATTGCCTTGTGTGAGGAGCACAGACTGGAGCACAGAACGAAGCACATCGCCCTGCGGTACTTCCTTGCTCGTGAGCTGCAGCAGCGCGGTCAGCT